TGTGTGGTGGAAGATGTGACTGACAGTGGTCGCGAAGCTGATTTTCGGTGACATCAGAGCCTTGAACATATGCGACTAAGTGATCTTCTCCCCATTTGATAACGATGCAAGCAGAGACAGACGTGTTAAGTATGCATTTTTCAATTTCACCCAGTTCAATACGTTGACCTCGAATTTTGACTTGTTGGTCTTTTCTGCCTCGGTAATGCAAAGCGCCGTTGGCGTCAACGCGAACAATATCACCAGTGCGATAATAGATATCACTATCGATATGAATCAATGCTTTTGAAGTGAGATCATCACGATGTAAATAGCCTGCAAAGACACCAGCGCCGCCTATGTATAGTTCGCCTTCTTGGTTTATTGGGACGGATCGAAAATGTTCATCAAAGATGTAGCAAGTGTAGTTCGGCAGTAAACATCCTATAGAAATAATGTCAATGTTTTTAGTGATATCGAAAAGATGGAATGTTGAATCCATGGTGGTTTCAGCTGGCCCATACAAATTGGAAACAATGACATTCGAGAAATTCATATTATTTAGTGAGCTAAGTAACTTGATCGGAAAGGGTTCACCTGCGAAAGATCATATATATCAATTTAGTGTGAAGTAAATATTCACGTGACTTACCGCCGCTGCAAATTGACCGAAGATACTGAACTACTCTTTTATTTCCAGCTTTTTCTATAGACATGAACAAATTATAGAATAAGCTTGGCACAGTGTGTATATATGAAATCTGTTTTGTATACAGTATGTGAGATAAATATTCAAAGTCCATCGTACCACTCGGATGCAGCATAATCAATGAAGCTCCAATGATTAAGGACCCCATTATTTCTTGAACATGAATATCAAAAGAACACCGTGCCATTTGTACGATTGTATCATTCTTCAAAATAGAGTCGACACAAGTCAACGCGTACATGCACTGAAGGAAATTTTTTTGTCGAACTTGAACCTGTTAAAAAGCAATCAAATTATAGATGTAAGCTTACACTCAAAATACAATATCAACAAACCGCTTTTGGAATTCCAGTGGATCCACTGGTAAAAATAACGTAACTGATGTGACTTGGCGTGATCGGTACGTTAGATATTCGTTGGGTGATCATGTCACTTGACTCAGCTTCACAATCTAACATTGCTTCATTGCGACATGTGACGATTTTATTACCGAATCTATTAACTGTCAGCCAATGAGTTAGTACAATACGGCTTCTGTTTTGCTGAACAAGTGCATGCAATCGCTGATCGGGATCTCGAGGTGACAGTGGACAGTACACACCACCCACCATCTCGATCGCCATGATACCAATTACCTATAATCAACGACAATCGACAATACGAATCAACGCTCGTCATCTCAACTCAGCTTACCATCGACAAGCTTCTTTCCACACATTGACAAACGACATCACCTGCAGCGACACGATACTGACTGAGAAGATGCAACGACAAGACCTGAACATAGTGCAACAGCTCTGCATAGGTGAGAGACTGCTCGTCGAGTTCCACTGCTAGTTTCTGCTGATGTATAGTTGCTTGACGAACGAATTCTGTACGAACACAAGAAATTTGTGCGTATGATATTTCCGTGTTGTTCATCGCCTGCGTGAGATATCTTTCATTTGGTAATGATGGTGACAGCTCGTACACTCTCCTGTCAAGTTCAGCTTCTGCTCCATAAAATATTTCTTGCATAATCCGATGACATCGTTGTGAAATCGTCTCCACAGATTTCAAATTGAATAAGTCAAGTGTTGCATTAATTGTACACGATAGCTGATCCGTAACTCTATTGTGCTCAGCTGATAGAGTGAAATCGAGATCGTCTATTATATCTCCTTCATATTTACTAAGTGAATGGAATGGAAAATGCAGTCGAGCATTATTAATCGCTACATCATTTTTGTTGATCAGATCTCCTCGTGATCGAAAACTAAAACCAATGTTAAGAAAAGTCGGCTTCGAAACATTTCCGTATTGATTCAATATCCGTTCAAGAGGAAAATACGAATATTTCATGCAAATCATTTCCGCTACATTTACACCTTTCACCAGTTGCTCCAAAGTCCAGCTCGGATCAATCTCACAGCGTAACGGAATGGTATTCACGAACATTCCTATTATTGATCTAAGCTCGCTTTTATATCGGTTATCGATCGACATACTAATGCACAAGTCCTTTTCACCGTTAGTGAGTTTGAACAGAAAGACATAGTAGATGGCAAGTGATACTTGTCTTATTGACACATCATGAGATGATGCATATCTGATCAGCTCATTCGATACATCATAGCCAAAGTCAAAACATACCGACGTACCACGACCTGTTCGGTGTTCATTCGTCAGCCGGTGTCGATCGTATGGCAGTGACAATGGCCGATCTAAGTCACAATCATGAAGAGCATCAAGCCAGAACATACTTGCACCACTCATCGCCATCTCATGTTCGATCATGGCATCTATAATGACAAAGGACTGCATGAGAGAAGGTGGCGAACNTTTCTGTAGTGGACTTTGAGGAGCATCAGCTGTTCGATTATATGCCGAAGAAAAGTCGGGTGTGGGAAGACGTTTTCGATCTAGTTTTCCATTTGAGTTCAGTGGAAACTGGTCGAGAACGATGAACATCGATGGGATCATGAACTGTGGTAAGTGAGAGTGACAGTATAGGTGTAACTGTGCTTCGTCAACGTGAGATCCTTGGACATAGGCGACCAAATGATCATCGCCCCACTTGATCACCGCACAAGCAGACACATGTGACGACGAACTGAGTAAACATTGTTCGATTTCGCCGAGTTCGATTCGTTGTCCGCGTAGTTTCACTTGATAATCTTTGCGACCGATGGAGTGGAGATTGCCATTGGTGTCCAGCCGAACGAGGTCGCCTGTCCGATAGAAGAGCTGCCCGTCGATCTCAATGAGCGCCTTTTGCGTCAGGTCTTCGCGTCCGAGATAGCCGGCAAAGACTCCGTCGCCACCGATGAGCAGTTCACCCTGTTGTCCAACAGGAACAGGCTGTAGAAACTCATCGAAAATCAGGCATGGATAGTTAGGAAGTGGTCGACCGAGCGGAATGTTCTTTACTTGAATCGTTGGATCGACGAGGTAGTAGTGAGAAGCAAGTGTTGTCTCAGCTGGCCCGTATACATTCCAGATACGACAATCGTTGACAACATATGTAGTAAGTAGATCAACAACCTTCGTGGAAAGTACATCTCCTAGAAATAAACAGCAAAACTTAAGCATCATTGCTACGACAACGACAGTTGAATAGACAGTTAATGTTATTTCGCGAGAAACGACGTAAATTGTCATTTGCTGTAATACGGACATAAGTTATTACACTAACACTTAAGGATCGATATATATGTTTTAGGAAGTGGCAAAGTTGGCTGCGCTGACTGTCGAGAAGAGGTTACTATCCAATATCAATGTATGAGAAATCTTATAAGAACAGAACATTGGCCACGCTAGAATGATTCACAATCTGACGTGAGACTTGTTCTTCCAGTCTAAAGACAGCGTCGCTCGAATTTCGATATAGGATCCATTTTGTTTTGTACGAAGTTTGAGAAAAATTCAGTTGTATTTTCAATAATCTATATTCACGGAAAACATGAATTATTCGTATCCTCCCAAAAAAAATTACCACAATCTATTTTTTCATCCAAAGAAACTGCTATAACCGACAAAAGCTATTTGCGCCACCCCTCGCTGTAAAAAAAGGGCAGAACAATCAACTCTTTTGAAGGATTTATTAGCCACATAATTTAAATGGAGGGTATGTTATACGTTGCACTTTCATATATCCTTAAAAGGTTTATAAACTTCATAAACCCTCGAAAACCGCTTTTGCCACCTACGGTTATTTCAATATGAACATATGAATTAGCCTAGAGGGTGTAGATGAATGCTCATCTACTTTAAAGGTTTATGAAAATGCAACGTCTAACAAACTCCTCAAAGTTTTGTGGAAAACAAGGGTTTTTTAGAGGATAAATGACGTTCACAAACTCATAAACGATTCATGTCACGACCATCAACGATTTTTGAGGGATTATAATCCTACCCTAGTCTGTTAGTGCTGAGAGTCATTCGGTTCAACGTATACAGTAAATATTTGGCGAAATTCTATAAAGCATTCATACCATATACAGACCGAATCATGCTACGTCTCTTAAACGTAGTCTTCATACCGATTTTCCGGAATCTACACTAGGTGTCGCCGCGAAGCGATCATAAACTTAAAGCTCACTTCAACAGACTTCATGCTCACCGTATTCGCGGCGTACACAGATCTCTGAATATCTGTACGCACACATGCACATAACGGTTGACCAAAACTAGTCACTTACCACCGCTGCAAATCGTTCTTAACGACGGAATCTTCTCTGCGCTATTCTTTTCCTTGAAATAACTGCCTAAACTGTTAAGCACCGTCGGCACAATGAACATGTACGACACTTCTTTCTGTCTAATGATATCACCAAGATATTTCACGTTCATAATGCCGTCCGGTTGCAGCATTACAACGGTACCACCAACAATCAATGTTCCGATCACGTCTTGAACATGAATATCAAACGTACATCGGCCTATTTGTAGAACGGTGTCCTTCTCGCTGAAAGTACCGACTGGAAGCACAGACTCGATATATGCTATGAAATTTCTTTGCCGTATTTGTGCCTACAATATAATTCACATCAATGGTACATACTACGTGAGTAGAAGGGGAAACGAACCGCTTTTGGAGTGCCTGTTGAGCCACTAGTGAAGATCACATAAGCGATACTTTCGGACGTGACTTTGATATTTGCAATCCGGTTCAAATCATCGTCGCTGGTCATCCTGGTCGCATTGATTGCTTCATTGATATTCACATGCGAGATGACAGCGTCATCTCCAAACTTGTGTCGCGTAACTTGGTCCACTAGGACAAGGCGACTTCGAGTCTCTTCCACTAAAGAGTGTAGACGTTGAGAAGGATCTCGAGGCGAAAGCGGACAGTATACTGCGCCGGCCATCTCGATCGCCATGATGCCAATGATCTAGAACGAAACACGAAACGATCACATTGTGCACTGTTCTCTATTTCTCAAACGATCTCACCATAGATAAGCTTCGCTCGACACATTGACACACAATATCACCCACCTTTACACCATGCGTGTCTATGAGAACAACAGCCAAGTGTTGAGCGTAGACTAATAGTTCACTATATGTGAGACACTGCTCATCGAGATCAACAGCCACTTTTTGTGAATAGCTTGATGCTTTCTCGCAAAACAGCTGAGAAATGGTTTGATTTGTTGACGATGGTCGGTGACTATCGCTGGTTTTCATGGCATCAATGAGCAGTTGTTCATGTGGAAGAATGAGCGACAATTGATGAAGAGGTTGTTTCTCAATAGAGAAGAGAGCAGAGTTGAACAGGCGATGCAGAAGGCAGGAGAATCGATCGGCCATTAACTGTACGGTGACATGGTCGAAAAGATCTTGTGAGCAGACGAGAGAGCATGATATTCCGGTTGATTGGCCGTGAACAAAGGTAACCATCATGTCAAACTTAGCGATGTGACCAAAAAGATCCGCTGACATTGATTGCAAGACGGTACCACCAAGGTGCACTTGTTCGATGTTGGTCTCATCGCTGAGAAAGTCGAACATGGTCTCGAGAAATGCCGGTGCATGATGACTACCGATGATGTGTTGAAGAGGATAGTGTGAGTGCTCAAGTATCGACAGACATCGATCTCGCACTTGTTCAACTAGTTGTTCGAATGAGCCATTTGGATCTAGCTGAACTCGATAGGGTAGTGTGGCCACGAACATTCCAATCATGTCTCGCAGTTCTA